GGGATTACGGGAACTACAATTCAGGATGAGATTTGGGCGGGGTCTCAGCCAAACCATATCAAAGGGAAATTTAATGAAATAATACAGTATATGTCCATATAAAGCTCACAGGTTATTTTCTCTCTATAACTGATAAAGGGAAATCTGTGTGACTGATAACATCCCAACGTTTACACAAACATTGTATGCAGACCTACATTAGATACACACAAAGACAGACACACAAACATGAAAGTAACTGTTTAGATGAGCTGACACAGTATGTAGGTAAAGGGATTTTGTCACTGCCACGATCAAAATTTAATAGCTATTAAGGGCTAGGAAAGAAAAGACCCAATTTATAAGTATGTATTTACACAAATATAAAATAACCACCAGTATATACATAGGGATAGGCAGAAAATCCAGGTTTCACGGAAGAGGCCGAGGTGCGTGTTACTGTCGCTACTGTTGCCTTTGTGTTTGGTCACCAGAAATAAACAGTTACTAAGAGTTAGATTTCGAGGCCTGAATTGGAGTCACGGAATGACTTGGGACTTCTTGTATTTATTTATTTGAGATATTTAGAGAAATTTACTTTTACTTTAATTTGAAAATGTACAGATGAAAATTAAAACAATCATCTAGATAATAATCCAGAGGACACCAGACAAAGATAAGAAAGTAACTTGAAATTAAAAGAAAAAAAAATTTGTTCAAGTGACATATTGAGGAAACGTTCTAGCCTCAGCCTCTGGCCCCAAATCCCTCGAGGTGACACTCACAGGAGGACTTCTGTGAAATATGAAGAGCTGCTCCCAGCGTGCCCGAAGTGAGGGCAGCGCTGGGCCAGAGCAGAAGGGAGCTCTCAGAAACACAGCAGGCATGACTACCTGGCAAGCATCAGGAAAAATTTGTTCCTTTTAAAAACATATTTTTTTATTTCAATACATATAGTTTCCTAGAGAACTGTACGCATTTTATTCATTTTCTGCATTTAAAAACATCATTCTGAGGCTGGGCACAGAGGCTCTTGCCTATAATCCCAGCACTTTGGGAGGCTGAAGTGGGAGAATTGCAAGAGCCCAGGAATTCCAGGTTACAGTGAGCCGTGAGTGCACCACAGCACTCCAGCCTGGGTAACAAAGCAAGACACTGTCTAAAATACTTAATTAGGTGTGGCACAGTGGCTCACGTCTGTAATCCCAGCACTTTGGGAGGCCGAGGCAGGTGGATCACAAAGTCAAGAGATTGAGACCATCCTGGCCAACACGGTGAAACCCTGTCTCTACTAAAATACAAAAATTAGCTGGGCATGGTGGCGGGTGCCTGTAGTCCCAGCTACTCAGAAGGCTGAGGTAGAAGAATTGCCTGAACCTGGGAGGCAGAGGTGGCAGTGAGCTGAGATCACACCACTGCACTCCAACCGGGTGACAGAGCGAGACTCCGTCTCAAAAAAAAAAAAAAAAAAAAAAGAATTAATTAAATTTAAATAATACATAAATAATAAAAGCATCATTCTGAGAATGCATCCACAGGCCTCATCAGACTCCCAAAGGCTTCCAAGGTACAGGGATCTTTAATGCACTTAATTTTAATACACTTAAATTCCCTTAAGTGTAGCCAGAATGGGGCAGCAGAAACTCAATGAAATAAACTCACGAACAAATCAGTGTCCAACGTCAAGAAAAGCACTCTGCTGGGCTGCCTAGCTTCCTGTCCCTCCCCATGTAAGGGTACGGAGGGCAGGACCTGTACAATGTTTCTGGCCAGTCCCCATGTCTTGACAAAAAGACTACCTTCACCAAAGGAAAGAAAATCTAACAAAAGGGCCATCAAGGTAAAGATACTTTCAAAAAAGAACTTCTGATCAGAGTGTTTCAAATGCTAGCCCAACACCGCTGACGGGTGTATTCCTGACAATGTACTTGACACCAGCTCCCAAGCACATGCCGAGGCGGGGACAGCCCAGGCAACACTCCTTTCTAACCACCTGTCCACAGGGGCTGGGCGAAGGGCTGGACTCTCAACCCAAGGCTAAGGTGAAGGGAGGTGGACGCAAACACGATTCTTTCTGCCTAGAACGCTCACTCCCCACCCAGAAGTTAACACCTACTTGCCTTCAAGACTTAGGTCAAGAACTGCCTCCTCTTAAAATCATCCCCAGACTCTGTTAGAGTAAACAGGGCTCCCAGCATGCACGGTGCACCCACCAATGGAGCACTCTTCAAACCATGCTCCAATATCGGTCATCCCCTCCCTCCTCATGCCACCCCCTCCCCCAGCAGAGAAGCCATTCAGAGTAGGACCTGACTCTGGCCCACCACTATCTTCTCAAAGATGGCAGACAGAGCTCATGGTGGCTCACACCTGTAGTCCCAGCTGCTTAGGAGGCTGGGGTGGGAGAACTGTGTGAACCCAGTTGTTTGGGACCAGCCTGAGCAATAGAGTGGAACCCCATCCCTAAAAAATGAATAAACAAACAAATAAATGGTTTATAAAAGGCACTTACTAAGAATATATGAGTAACGAATACATGAGTAAACCAAATAGCTAAACAGTTTTCTGGAGGCCACTTTTTACCTCACTGCTGTACCTCCGTTCATACTATCTTTTTAGTATGAATAAGATTCTTTTAAAAAGATCTGAACTTATAAAACTATTTGTTTGTGGTACTGAATGCCAGTTTCTTTAGAACGAAACAAAACCTTGTTTGCTTTTGTATCCTGGTTATCAGCTGAGGTTACCCTAAACTTTGAGTTTCAAATACAACCATCAGCCCTACATGCTATAAGCAATTTGGTGTCCTTTCCAAGGTTTCTGGGAATTTGCAGGCTTATTTACTTTCCCACGGTTCGCTGCCAACTCTGAGTGTCTACCTCACCTACCTGCTTTTTACCTTCTCCTGCCCGCTAGTTGCTTCTGGGAGACTGAATATACTGGTGGTAGCCAGACTACACACGACAATGGAACTCTAACCCACGGCCTCTACAGAAAGCAGGAAGGCCAGGACCACAGCCTCTGCAGCAATCAGCCGGGATGCTCAGGACGTAGGCGATGACTGGCAGCTTCAGTATGTTTTGTGCTCGTCCAAATTAGGGCCAGCTAGAGAAAGCCGAGTATGTTCCCTAACCAATCACATAGGATGTCCTGCTTCTAACGAGCCCACTTCCAGATTCCCCACCAGGAGCCTCCAATCCGGGCACGCTGAAGTCTTCCCTCTCCCACTCCCCTCCTTGCCTTTAAGTCTCTGCCCAAGGCCAGTGATGTTGGCCAACTTCTCTGCTGTAGCAGCTCTGAAAAAACCACCTGTTTGTTCTCATTTGGTGGGTCTCTGTTGACTTCTACCCACCAGTGAGTCATAGCACACAGCCCCTTTTCAATCATTACATTTAGAGGACTCACAAACTCTTGGTATGTATACCAGGCTTTATGGAGAGTCTGGAGTGACTGAGGTTTTACTGCGGCGACACCAACTGAAGTCTACCTGTTTCTAATCATCTTCAATCACTGAAGCTTTAACTTTTCTCACAGCCGTCGTCCGTCCGTCACCAGCTCTGGGCTCCTGCCCTGCGCCTCACTGTCCAGCTTCTAGGCAGCCTTTCCCTTGGTTCCTGCCTCCTTTCCTCTTTTCTTAGCTCTCCCACCGACCGATGCATTGTTATTTCTTATGCAGACAAATTTTAGCTACTCTGCTACCCCCATTCCTTCCTTCATCCAGGGTTTGGGGCCACTCCCCAGTCCTACCTACAAAAGAAACAGAGGCTCAGTACGGACCATCCATGGCTTCACAGCTACAGAAGGGCCAGGCACACGTTTCCAGCTAACAGCTTTTCTCTGTCTTCAACAAGACCACTTTCCAGGACAGAGCACCTACATGCGGAAGGGAGGTTCTTCCCTCATAATCCAAGCTTATGCTGTTACGGCAGGCAGTCAGGCAGACATGAGCCGGACAGGAGGGGCCCCCACCCCCACCAGGAATATCAGGCGACATCAGGTGACAGGTGCTTGTTACTGTCACTCTAATCGGTCACGAGTCAGTGTCAGGGAAAGGCAGTCTCCCAATAGATAGAAACACCTGGAACTGGAGATCAGAAGCTTCCCGATAAGACCTCAGGAGTTAGGTGACTGGGCTCAATGCACACTAAGAGGCAAAATAGCAGAGTTTAACTGGCACAGGACCTTCTAGGAACGTTCTAGAGGTAAGGGAAGAACTGCTTCAAGTGAGCACATGTACAACTTAACACAGTGAGCACGCGGCCCCCGAAAGTTCTGGAAGCCACTGCACAAGCGGACAACCTGCCCCAAGGGAAGAATCAGGGAGAAGAAATGAGACCCAGGAAGCATGTGGCATTTAAAGCCCCAAGTCCAAGGTCAAACCACAAACTTGAATTTCTCAAGGGGCCCCCTGGCCCTCTTCCAATTGTACTTTACTTCCTTTTGTTCCTGCTATGAAGCTTTTAAATAAACTTTCACTCTGGCTCTAGAACTTGCCTTGAGTCTGCCTATGCCCCTCAGCTGAATTCTTTCTTCTGAGGAGGCAAGAACTGATACTGTTGCAGACCCGTACAGATCTGCTGCCACCGCCAGTACCTCCGCCCAGAGATGGGAAATTCTCTCTTTCAAATATCCTTTTAAACAGTAGTATCTATTTATTTATTTCCTTTAGCATCCATTGATACTTGTCTAAAGTTGTGGCTAAACTGCCTCAGGACCTGAGAAATTTCAAAGCCGGTAACATGCCGGAATGAGTTAATACCATACTTACTGACGAATCACGTTACCTGATGTCTCTGGATTTAAAAGAATAATTGGAGAGTGCAGTCTGATACACAGTGAACCTCATCTGCATTTTGAGAAGTCAGATTAAAACTGTACGCCTGAATGGCAACCCAACACCACACAGCAACAATGCAGCAAGACCAGAAAGAACAGAAAAAGGACAAAGCCCTAAAAATTATCTTCATTAAATCACTTCTAAGTCACAGTGACAAAACCATGACGACCAAATCTGACACTATATGACAGTGAACATGTTCTAAACCTTCAGATGGGCATGGCTTTGCCCGCTGGTACTAGGTCACCTTTTTAAAAAGAGGCTGAATCGTTGAGACAATAGTACCTTTTTGCTGCTGTGGAGTTCGCTAATTTGCTCACCGATGTTCTGCCCTTCCAGAATCTTCCACAGAATATATATTATATACATATACATCACATGTATAATCATATATGATTACATACATATACATTGTATATTTACATACACTACTATATGCTATGTATTTCATAACATATGTACTCATATAGTTAATGGTATTAAATACAACTGCACCCTAATCAAGCTCCTGTGTACCGGTGATCTCCACTATAAAATTCCATCACTAATTATTTATCTTAGTGTAGGCATAATATACTTACATGGAGTAATCCGAGGAATTTTAATACTAGCAATATTGATTTCTTAAAGATATTCACTTGTGCAAGTTCATTTGTCTGCGTGTTCTAAAAGCAGAGACCTACTGAACTCTTTTTGAAAATGGAAATTCCCAAGTCAGGTGACTTTTATTTCTTTGCTCAAAAACTAGGACCCCCGCCCATTTTTTTTAAAGTGTGTGAATATATATGCACACCAGTTTCTGTGTGTATCAGTTTCTCTGCATGTTAATGATTCTCAACGGCATGTCCCAAATGAAATCAATGTCTATGACTTAGGAATGCTAAGAGAGGTCTGGGACATTTAAGCTAAACAACAGCAAATGCATTTGAAACACATAAATAACACTTGCTTCACTAAACCTTATTTCATTTGTTCTTGAAGTTACTATTGCCCAAGACTGATGCTTTGTTTAAATCTTCTTTGCAATATTAAACAGCTATAAAAATGTTAAGAATTCCCATGGTCACATTAGGTGGGTAACACATTATTGGCAAGACAGTGTCAAAACAGGCATTCCCATACATTGCTGGTGAGACAGACAATGGTAAAAGCCTACGTAAGGGACTTTGGCAGTATCTAACAAAAGCACAAGTACCTTCACCCTTTGATCCCAGCATCACCCTTCTAGTGATTAGACTGCCAAATCGCAATTTACCCTGAAGATACACCTCCAATAGGAACGTGAACATGAACAAGGTATTTCTTGCTTAAAACTGCAAATATTAGCAGCCACCTAGAGGGCCAAACACTGGTGGAATACTGTACTGTTTTAATAAAGAGTGAGAAAGAGCTCTATGAGCTGATATGGAGTAATTTCTAACACTCATTATTAAATAAAAAGGCAAACTGCAAAAGAACATATATGTCACATTCAGTGCAAGAAGGAAAAATAAGAAAACATCTACTCACTTTAGAGAAAGAAATTATTAAAAGGCTAAATCAGAAAACAAGGAAGTAGGTAATCTACAGGAGTAAGGAGAGTATGACGGACGGCAATGGAGTAGAACGGATGCAAATTTCAGGGAAGGGGTGACGCTGCTCTGAATACATCTTTTTCCACAGTTTTGACTTTTTCGAACTACATTCATGTTCTACATATTAAAAAAAATCAAAAGCACACCCTATGACAAACTTACTCATGTAAACAAAATTATTTTTAGAATAAATGGTTGCTTACTGAAAAAAAAAAAATCAAAAGCAACAAAAGAGGAAGGAGCAAAAGAAAACCTAAAATTGAAAGCAAATGGACACAAATCAACTGTGCTTCAAACAAATACTGTAAGTACACTGAGAGCAGGGAAGGGAGCTAAGCCAAGTACCTTGTGAACGCAGTATTGACTGATTACCCCCAAGGGCTGCTTGGAGATGAGAACAGGTTGGGAGGCAAGGAATTCTGCAAACAAATCCTGACGTCATTTGGTTTGTTTTGGTAATGGTTTCAGTGAAGCAATTCCACGACAATTTTAGATGTACTACAGGAGTAAGCAAATGAGAAAAGGTGCTGATGATGCTGGAAGCCAAAACTTCCACAAAGGGACACACAAATGCAGAATGGGTGAAGGCAAGAACGAACTGTGCGGGGGGCTGAATGTGAAGAGGGCAGTGTGAACTCACGAATCCAAGTATGCATGTGTGTGCATACAGGCACGTGTAAGTACGTACAGCTGTCCCTCGGCATCCACAGTGCACTGGCTCCAGGGAGAGAACAACGTGTCAACACATAACTGAGTAGGAGCATAGCACAGTAGGGCTGTTACGGCGGGTGTGTAGAAAGCGATGGACCCCAGAGCAGGGAGGGCCTTTCTCTGCTGGGTGGCAGGAGAGTCTCACAGACGGGACTTCTGAATGGGGCTTTGAGAGAAAAGGAGGAGGGGACAGAGCAGACAACCTGACTGGGGGATGAGAAGTCTAGGTTCACACAGGGAATGCTGAGTACAGTTGGGCCTCAGTATGAGAGAGAGATCCCTTCCCCATAACAAAATCCAGGGATCCTTAAGTCCTTCTACAAAATGGCATTCGTATTTGCATATAAACTACACACGACCTCCCATATACCTTAAATCATCTCCAGGTGACTTATAATGCCTAATGCAATGTAAGTGCCAGCTAAATAGTTGTTATACTCTATTTTTTAAATTTATTTTTTTATTGTTATATTATCATTTTTCATTGTTTTTCAAATACTTTTTAACTGCTGTTGGTTGAATCCAAGGATGTGGAACCTGTGGATACAGAGGACCAAACTGTCTGTGACTGTATGATATCTGTGTGTTTATACGCACGTGTGTCGGTGTCTACGTGTGTTCATACGCGTGTGTGTTGGTGTCTGTGTTCATACGCGTGTGTGTTGGTGTCTATGTATGTTCATATGCATTTGTGTTGGTATCTATGTGAGCCGCTGTGCCCAACCGAAAAATATTTTTTAATAAATTTAATGTAAGCCAGGTGCTGTGGCTCATGCCTATAATCAATCCCAGCACTCTGGGAGGCCAAGGCGGGTGGATCACCTGAGGTTAGGAGTTCAAGATCAGCCTGACCAACATGGAGAAACCTGTCTCTACTAAAAATATAAAAAATTAGCCAGGCGTGGTGGCACATGCCTGTAATCACAGCTACTCGGAAGGCTGAGGCAAAAGAATCACTTGAACCTGGGAGGTGGCGGTTGTGGTGAACCGAGATCACGCCATTGCACTCCTGCTTGGGCAACAAGAGCGAAACTCCATCTCAAAAAAACAAAAAAAAAAGAAACAAAGAAAAAAAATTAGTGTAGCTTACGTGAACAGTGTTGGTAATGCCTACCGTAGTGTACAGCAATATCCTAAGCCTTCGAGGTGACTCAGCACTCAGTACTGACTCACCCAGAGCGACTCCAGTCCTGCAAGCGCCTCTCAGAGTAAGTATCCTACCAAGGTACGCCATTTATCTTTATACAGCATTGTCACCAGACCTTCTCTTGGTATACTTGCCATTTGTTACAGTCACCTGCAATATTCAGTGCAGTAGAATGCCGTACAGGTGTGTAGCCTAGAAGCTATAGGCTATACCGCAGAGCCCAGGTGTGTAGTGGGCTAGACCATCTAGGCTGGTGTAAGTGCATTCTGTGATGTTTGCACAACAGAAAAGATCAGCAAACAAGGCATTTTCAGGACCTAGCTCCATCTTTAAGCAAGGCATGACTGTATGTACAATCCAAAAATCTAAAATCCGAAATGCTCCAAAATTTGAAACTTGTTTCTGAACTTCTTTTTAGAAATGGGGTTATGGCTACGTTGCCCAGGCTGGCCTTGAACTCCTAGGCTCAAGCTGTCCTCCCACCTCGGCCTCCCAAGGCTGGCCTTGAACTCCTAGGCTCAAGCTGTCCTCCCACCTCAGCCTCCCAAGGGTGGCCTTGAACTCCTAGGCCCAAGCTGTCCTCCCACCTCGGCCTCCCAAGGCTGGCCTTGAACTCCTAGGCCCAAGCTGTCCTCCCACCTCGGCCTCCCAAGTAGCTGTGACTACAGGAGCTTGGCACCACGCCCAGCTTGAAACTTTCTGAGCACCAATGTGACACGTAGAAGCACTGCTCACTGGAGTAGTTCAGAGTTTCAGATTAGGCATGTCCAACCAATAAGGATAAAGCAAACATTCCAAAAATTCACAGATTTCAAAACCCCAAAACCAACCAAAATCTGAAGCACTTCTGGTCCCAACTGTTTGAGATAAGGGAATAACCAGCCTGTATATAGGCTCAGACCTTTACCAACTTCTAAACCTTTTTTCATATTTATGTAAATTTTTAATTCACAAATAAGATCCATACATAAAGATGTACTTATCCTAAGTATACAATTTAGATAATTTTCACAATGTGAACACACTCATCTAAGCAGCACCTAGATGAAGGAACAGGACATCGTGAAGCCGCCTTTGTCAAGATCTGCCAGTCACCACCCAAGAGTAACCACTATCCTGACCTGGAACAGCTTTGTCTATTCTTAAACTTTTTGCAAATGGAATCATGGTATTTTGTATTTGTCAACTTTAGCGCCACATTAAATCTGTAAGGTTTATCCATGACGTTAAGTATAATTGTAGATTGCTTGTTTTCTCTGTGGAAGAACACTCCATCATTTCACTACACCGTAATGTATTCATCCATCAACTGTTGATGGGCATTTGGGTAGTTTCCAGTTTGCAGCTATGAGCATTCTTGTATACCTGTCATTCCTATTGAATACATGCTCAGCAGTAAACTTGCTGAGTCACAGTGTATGTCTATGCTCAGCTGCAGTAGCTACTGCCAAAATGGTTTTCAGAGTAGCTGTAACAACACACACTCTGAGTGCAGAGTTTCTGGGCTCCATTTGCTCCATGTCCACACCAACACTAAGTATTAACTCAAATAGTTAACTGGCTTAAGGCTAAATTATTCAATATTTATTAGGCTCCAGCCTCTCCCTGAAAAATTTACAAAAGGATAGGTTTTTTTGTTAAGAAGATGAAGGCTTAGCTTACTTTCTGAACTTAAAGAGAAAAATGTTTTAATCAAATTATGCACATTGCAGCCAGAATTTTCTAACAAAGAAGTCATCTTTATTTCTCCCTTTGCTATTAATAATATTTTCTGAAGCCACCATAAGTGGGAACAAATTCTCTGTACAAAACAAATCATGTGGCTTTCTGACTGCCCTATACGCCACGTTGATTACCTCAACTCTGAAGAGCTAAATGGTCTAAAACTCTGGGAAAAATCCGAATTAAGTGTTTGTGCTCAGCAAGAACCAAACGCATTTGGCCACTTCCATACAATATAGTATTGATCAACAGCCTTGAACAGCACGTGTGCTAACATTTCAAACAACAGCATGTTCCCTGGGGGCTGGATCTTCCTCTTCATGTATTCCAGTCATGCTCAACAAGAGGTAATTAGAAAGTTTCTCATGAGTTATAACATTAAAAAATGTTTTCATGAAGCCAGTAAGTTGCAATAATACCTCTTCTATCACAGTAGATGTTGTAATTACAATTAGTGTGCTTGCATTTCATAATGAGAAAATAAACTAATTTCTATTTAAATGCAATATAGGTATTTATAAACACCAGACCTTAACAAATTAGCCATAAGGTTACTGTTCATTAGGCAAAAGAATCAGCAAGCAACATCCCAGCGAGTCATAGCTTATTTGATGACTTGGAATTCACTGCTATGACACTGACCATGACAAACAGGTTCCTGGTTAGGGTAGGTACTGTGACTTGGATTAACTATCTTACTGAAAACAATGCAAAACGCCGGATAAAATCTAAATACCCTAAACCTTAAGCTCCGAAAATAGGGGGAGCTTTCAGACTAGTTTCTGAAGGAAAGACTTAGGCAGAGGGTTGAGAACATGAGAGCATGGAGCTGACCGTGCCCAGGAGGCACTCAGCAACAACACAGCAGAGGTGTCCGTGGGACCCTGCACTCAGATCCTCCCAGCACACAAGTTTTATGATTCACCTTACACAGAAACAGGCACCTGCAGAGAAGGGATTATACTCTCAAAGTCAGGAAAAACTAGATTCATTCGCCAACCCTTCCACACACATTCACGCTCCTGAAAACTGAGAAGGCTGCCCTGGGAAGTTACAATCTCAGACCTACACTGTCAGGAACTTACACACTGGGGACAAACGAGGCTGACCTGAAGCACTGTCCCAACTGGCAGAGGCCTCAGGTGCCCGGCAGAAGGAAACATGTTATGGAGAAAGGAATATCCACGCTGGATTTCAGGGAATGCCCTGTAACGAATTTCAGGAACAATGTCCAGGAAGGATAAACAATATTCAGGCCTCCAAGAAAACAGGAAGATTTGGGCATGAACAAGATATGACAGACACCGCAGACCAGAAAAAAGATGACTTTCTTTAATTGTACTTTAAGTTCTGGGCTACATGTGCAGAACATGGAGGTTTGTTACATAGCTATACAGGTGCCATGGTGGTTGGCTGCATCCATTCCCCCGTCATCCACATTAGGCATTTCTCCTAACATAGGCTATCCCTCCCCTAGACCCCCACCTACCGACAGTGCCCGCTGTGTGATGTTCCCCTCCCTGTGTCCATGTGTTTTCACTGTTCAACTCCCACTTGTGAGGGAGACTATGTGGTATTTGGTTTTCTATTCTTGTGTTAGTTTGCTGAGAATGATGGTTCTGATATTAGAATTACCACATACACTGTAGAACTACATTTAATAAACATGAATAAATAAGTCACACACTAGGAGGTATCTACAGGGAACAGGAAATTATAAAATAAAAAGCAATACAGATTTGAAAAAAAAAATAAGCAGAATTTCTAGCAATGATAGACTTCTACAAATGAAAAATAACCAAAATTAGAAACTCAACAGCTGTACGTGGCAGGAGAAGAAGAACAGAACACAGGAAAAAAAAAAAAAGAAATAATATCATTTGGAATATAACACTAAAAAAGAAAAAGCTGGTATGTACAAAAAGTAGGAATTAGAAAATACAGTGAGAAAGTTTAAAGAACACATGATCTGAATTGCTGAAGGAGACAGAACAAGAGAGAGAGTAAGCAAAGATAATGGCAGAAAGTTTTCCAGACTGATGAAAAAGGACAATCCATAGATTCAAGAAGCACAGAGAATCTGAAACAGAGTAAGTAGAAAAGAAAGTTAAATTTAGTTACATCACAGTGAATCTACAGAAAGCCAAATCTACATCTCCTCCCCCAAAAAATGTTTTAGAAGGACACAAGGGAGAAAAAGAGAGATTTCCTTCAGAGGAAAGACTTGAGATGAACCACAGTCCTCTCAACAGCAACAATTCAGAACATAAGATAAAGAAATAACATCTGCGCAGTGCTGAGCAATAATATCAAAAATAACTACCAAACTGAAATGTAATGCTCAGCAAAATATCCCTCAAGGAAGAATAACTTTGTCAGACAGACAGTCTGCCACCAGCAAACGTAAGCCAAAGGAGACTATAAAGGACCTTCTGTAGTCAGAGATAAGCGAAGGCGGCAGTGAAAACTCAGAAGAAACGATGCATACAAAAGTGGTAAATACGTGGGTACATGTAAATGAACATGAACTACATTAAGGCAGTGATAACAAGGTCTGGTGGATATTTAAAAGAGAGAAACAAAACAAGACAGACTGAAAAACGCCGCAAACCACCACCAACAACATACATATCAACGGGGACTGCACGGAGTTACGCAGGCTGAGGTCTGGATATCACCAACAGAAAAGAAAGTTTCTCTTCAACTTTAGCTTTTAATACATTAATATGCATGATGTAAATTTTAGGGTAACCAGTGAAAGAATATAAAGAGAATACATAAATGCCAACCTTACATAGGGAAAAAACTAAATGAAAAATAAAATATCAATGAAGCAAGAGAGAGGAAGTAAGAAGAAGATAATGTATGACAAAGTTTGAAAGAATACAGTAGAATGAATCCGAAAAGACCAACAATTACACTGTGTAAACAGAGTACATGCTGTGTGGTTAGAAGTCAAAAATTGGCCAAATTTTATTTATTTATTTATTTATTTATTTATTTGAGACAGGGTCTCACTCTGTCGCCCAGGCTGGAGTGCAATGGTGCAATCTCAGCTCACTGCAACTCTCCCTCCCAGATTCAGGCAACTCTCCTGCCTCAGCTCACAAGTAGCTGGGATTACAGGCATGCACCAACACACCCAGCTAATTTTTGCACTTTTAGTAGAGATGGGGTTCCACTATGTTGGCCAGGCTAGTCTCGAACTCCCGACCTCAGGTGATCTGCTCACCTCTGCCTCCCAAAGTACTGGGATTATAGGAGTGAGTCACCACGCCCAGCCTGGACAAATTAATTTTAAAATACTATATGATATTCATATTACAGAAGTCTAAAACATAAAAAGAGAGATGTTGGAAAGAAAAGATTGAAAAAAGATATAGCAGGCAAATATCAATCAAAAGAACGTTCACATGATTATGCTAAAATGGGACAAATTAGTGTAAGGCAGAAAACATTACTAGAGATTAAGAAAGCCACTTCACAACGACACAAGGCTGATTTCACTGGATGACGTAATCTGAAATTTGAATACACCTAATAACATGGCCTCAAGATACATAAAACAAATATTGTCAGAACTACAAGAAATAAATGCACAATAGTAATAGTAGATTTATACACATCTCATTCAGTAATTTATAGAAAAAGCAGGCCAAAATTAGTAAGGATAAGATTTGAACAAGATAACTAATAAATTGCTCGATGGACATACATTGAATACTGCACCGAACAGCTATAAAATATTTTTTTTCAAACATACAGAATATTTACGAAAAAATAGCCTCACAATGGGCTTTATATAAACCAAGTCTTGATGAATTTCAACATATTAAAATCACCCAGACTACATTCTCTAACTTCAAAGCAGTTAAACTAGAAATCAATATACAAAGATAACTATAATGTATCCATGGCATTTAAATACATATATGTTAATAACCCATGATTCGATAAAGAAAAATATAAAATATTTTAACTAAAAGATTAAAATTATATGTGCCAAAACTTGTGAGATGACACTAAAGCAGTATTTAAGAGAAACATAATCTCAAATGCATAAATTAGAAAAGAAATATGGAAAACGAACAAGCTAAATATTTACACCAAAAAGTTAGAAAAAGAATACAAAATAGACCCAAAGAAAAAGAAAGGAAATGAGAATTATTACAACAATCAAAACAAAAAGAAACAGAAGTGATTAGCAAAATGAAACAATGACATTCTAAACCATGTTTTATAAATTCAAATTTCCAAATCTGTATTTAATAAAAACCCAAAGTAGAGCTGAGGTAATTCCAAGATGTCACAAGCCAAAGAATATAGAATTTAAGTGAAGGATTTAATGCACAGACACACAAGTTAACTGTGTTTGATGGGTGGGGGCAGAGGGCAGGGAAATATGTAAGGAGACAAACTGCAGATTCAGTTCTACAACAGTATCTACGTGACCATGAAGGTGTTAAAATTAACTTTCTCTTTACTTCATAATATCTTTTTTAAGTGCAGTTGTGATTTCTAAATTCAGTACTTTTATTCGTTATCATGACAGGCAATTCACAACTCATGACTGACTGCTATCTAAAATTTTCCCTACAGGGTTGGTTGTTCGAAATTGACGAACAGTTTCTTTCACATCAGACTCTGCTGAGTCATGCTTTGGATGTCCATGTAATTTGTTATCTGAAAGTGGTCACTATTGCTTGGGTCAAATGCTAAATGGGGCAGATCACTGGAAGCAGGCATAAGGCTGAGGTGCAGGAAACACATCGCCCCTTTACCACATCACCCATGCTTCAGTGAGGGGGTGGGGCAGGAGGAGGGCAGGAGGGAGCCATGTCCCTGCTGCACAGCAGCTTCTAGGGAAAGCCACTGCCGGGCAAAACCTGCTGCTGCTCCTTGCACCATAAGCTAGCTGTCTTCCTAACTGGCTCCTCTTCTGGGGGCCTTTCTGCAGAAAGAAAGGGAGGGGGGATTTCCTCCTCCTAAAGTCAACAGGCAGCTCACCTAAGGATCCTTCTAGGGCACAGTTTCTCAAAGGAGAGCAATTGTGCAACCCAGGATACAATGTCAATGTGTAGAGACAATTCTGGTTGTCCTACTGAAGGGAGAGGAGTGGGGCTATCAGCATCTAGTGAGCAGGGGCCAGGATTTCTGCTAAATATCCCACAATGCATGGGACGGCCCCACAGCAAAGAACTGTGCATCCCAAAACGCCTTCAGTGCAAGGTTGAGAAAGCCGGCTAGGAGGGTTTGTACTAACAGTTACAACAAATAACCAGGCAAGAAGAAAGTACGCTGAGGGATAGGTGTGGACCAGGAAGGAAGGAGAAAAACGAAGAAAAACCCTTAGAAAGTCAACAAAGGGAAGGGATTTCCTGTGTTCATCCTGCCAGGGTAGCAGGGTTCTGAGTGGTTATTTCATGAGAGGAACGTGCATGTATGAACCAAGCACTCTAAGCTAGGTCTCCTTATATACAGAATTACCAAGTAAATTTAAAAAGAACTTTTTTCAAAAGCTGCCGGAACTGACCGTAGAGTGATAGTCTTTCAATAAAACAGGGTACTGTATTATTGCTTCAAAAGCAGACAACGTGATCTTGATCAATTCTTCTGACGCTGTCAGTCCTAGAAACACAGGTAATTATTATAGGTATTTATTTACATGTTCTAAATCGCAATATCAAAGTACCTCAAACACATAAAGTGTTCCACGGTCTACTCACCTATGGCTCCATCTATGTTTGTTTCTCCTGAGTCTACAGATTTAATATGACTCTGAAAAGAACAAATATTTTAATAAATACAGTTTCAAAATAACTCTGAAATAAAATACAGGTAGTTTACATTTTGCCCAAAACTGTACCTAATGCTCTTAATAACTCATAGACAGTAATAAATACTCTACACATATTATAAATACTATTAGTTTTTAAATTACATTTAATAATATATGTGAATTATTAACTATAATCATTTTTAAATATACAAATCACTATCAATGAGATTTAATGTTGGAATACAGTCAGAGTTACTGTAAGCACTTGCAAAAGTGAGAATAATACAACTGATACATAGCCATCTCCAATAACATGCCACGCTCACACGTTTGCCGTATCGGTAGTTAGTTAGAATGGCATCTAACTAGGGGAGACTCATCTCAAAGGAAGGTCAAGCCTTAGCTACCCTGAATACAAAGTGTGTCAAGTCAGCAGTTTTGCTCTCAAGGCCTGCCTTCAAATTTCACCACTGTTTTTAGTTCCTGCTAGATACCTCTTATTCCAATTCCCTTCTTTGTGCTCCCATGCACCTTGCTAGTGTCTCCTTTGCAAGGTGACACCCATTGCTGTCTGACAGGAAGAATTTCGTAGCTCGGCTGTGAGCTCTCTGAGGCCTCAGCTCCCCAGACGAGGGAGTTTTCCAGTCTCTGACCCAATGCTCTGAACAGAAAAGGCATTCCATGAACACCATCTTAATGAAACAATCACTGCCATGCTAGGCAGAGCCCCCACATTACCGTCTGCAAGAACACTGCAACAGAGTTCTTGACCCTAATGAACAAAACCATACATATACATTATTTTATATATGGTAACAAATGGCAAATAAAATATAAGATGACCTTGGAGCTAAAAAGTTACTAAGTATAAGCAATTAGCCCACAGTAGAAATTGGTCTAGTGCGCTCCAATGGTATGTCTTCAAAACATCTAATACAGCCGGGCGCGGTGGCTCACGCCTGTAATCCCAGCACTTTGGGAGGCCGAGGCGGGTGGATCACGAGGTCAAGAGATCGAGACCATCCTGGTCAACATGGTGAAACCCCATCTCTACTAAAAATACAAAAAATTAGCTGGGCATGGTGGCGCGTGCCTGTAATCCCAGCTACTCAGGAGGCTGAGGCAGGAGAATTGCCTGAACCCAGGAGGTGGAGGTTGCGGTGAGCCGAGATCGCGCCATTGCACTCCAGCCTGGGT